GTGGTTACAAAAGTTGGCCAAAAGCTGTAGAATGTACTAGCTTTAAAGATTTCCCGAAACCAAGACACCGAGTCTCCTTTGGCCTCCGTTTTTTCTATAAGATATTGGAACTGGGTCAGGTCAAACTAAAGGTCTTTCAGCTCTGAAAAATCTGTAGCTTTCTGTTATAATGGGGGGTAGGGAATAGCTTGTAAGTTTGGAGATCTTGGCCCAATACAACCACCTTTATAGTTTTGTGACCTTGAGAAGTCACTTTCACTCCCTGGGTCACAATTTCTTTTCTTTAAAAATTGGTTGGAGTACATGAGTTCTAATTCTAAGATAGCTGTAAGATAACAGTTAAGCCTTAGATAATTCTCCAAAATAATCTGTTAATATGTATAGTATGAACAAGCTGAGGTTGATCACAATTTCCTGTTGACTTGGGTTTGCTGGCTTAAGAGTCTATAAGCAGCATTTGGTATGTTGGTGTTTAATGGATATGACATTTCATTACACCAAATGGGAATGGAATATTTTTAGCACAGAATTCGCTAAGTTTTAGTAAAGAGGGCTTGTTCTGTGAATGGAGTGTGAACAAGCAAAGATACTATTTTAAAAGACCAAATATAACCCCCCTCCCCATCACAAAATAGTCATATGTGTACATATTTTCACCACAGAGCTTGAAGAACTTACCCCTTTTTATATTTTCTAAAAGGCAGTATTCCATCTACTTTAATAACTATGCTGGCTCACACACATTCCTCCTGTCTTTGCATGGCCTGCATACTTATGATTAGTAGGCTAGAAGGTGCCTGGGTGGCTTAGTCAGTTAAATGTTGGACTCTTGATTTCAGCTCAGGTCATGATCTCATGGCTGGTGGGGTCAAGCCTGATGCTGAGCTCTGCACACTAAACACATGGAGCCTGCTTTGGATTCTCTCCCTCTCTCTCTCTGTCCCTGCCCCTACTCGCATGTGCATGTGCATGTGCTCTCTCTCTCTCAAAATAAATAAATAAACCTTAAAAAAAAAATAGGCTATCACACTCTGCACTGACAATGCAGAGTCAGCTTGGGATTCTCTCTCTCTCTCTCTCTCTCTCTCTCTCTCACACACACACACACACACACACATGCTCTGAGTCTCTCTCTCTCAAAACAAATAAACTTTAAAAAAAATTGTGCTAAAAATATTGTTAATGATTGAAGGCAATAATAATAGCTACCATTTATTTAACACTTACTATGTGCAGAACATATGCTATTTCATATGTATTTAGCCATTCAACCTTGCACCAATGTTATTATTCTCAGCATTTTCTTAAGAAAAAAATGGAAGTTCAGAGAGGTACAGAAGCCTGCCCAAGGCATGTAGCTAACAGACAGCAGAACCAGGGTTCAAACCAGGTCTCTCTGCAATCAGAACCCTAGTGATTGACTTACATTGATGTACTTATACTGATTGTTATCAGTCAGGATAAGGTGGGTTATTTGGTCATACTTTGGTGGCACTCGAATACTACTGGCTGAAAACAATAAAGACTTATTTCTTGTTCACATTACTGACAGCACAGTTCCAAGTCATCACAATCTGCATACACGGATGCATGCATTGATGAGATAGCACCAAATGGGACATTACTACATCAGAGAGGAAAAGAGCCATGGCAAAGTATGCATGACTGCTACAACTGGTTTTGGAATTCTTTATCTGATTTTTAAAAACTATTTTCATTTTCCCCCCACCCTTTTTTTTTTTTTTTTTTAATTTTACAACCATGCCTGGCTGGCTTGCTTTATTGGAGAAGGGCATGTGGAGTTAACAATGTGAAGATAGTTGGGACCTGAGGTCTGGAAGAACACCCTCCCCTCCCCATACATACAAACTGTCCCAAATAAAAAATAACCAACTATGGGAGAGCAGCTAAGACAGCGACTGAGGGTAGGGAAGGGAACATGGAACCCAAGGGCCACAGGAGAAACCATGCATGGGCTGGGAGGGCCCAGAGGCAGCCTCAATATGAGTAACGTGAGTGAAAGTCTCTCTACCTTCCACATAGGTCTATATAAATAGAAGTTGTTCACCTTCCCCTATTCTCCCCTCTGCTCTGTGCTGCTCACTGTGGCCCCAGCTCCTCTGTTCACATGTGGGCAAAGGAAAGGGATGATGGGCAAATCATCACTGAATTGTGATCAGACCCACACATTCACCAGCTCTCGGATCTTTTGTGCGTTACAGGATTCTTTATGTGCTCACTGAGTGCCTGGGGGTCCTTCCGCATCTGTTCCAGGATGAGCTGCATGGTGGGGTCACTCATTATCTGCTGCACCTCTGGCATGTGGTGTCAGTTGTGCTGGGCCATCATATGGTGTTGGTAACTGTCCGCAGCCTCCTTACAGTTGGCATCCAGTTCTGAGGCTTTCTGGTAGACATCCACGGTTTTCCTGTAGTGCTTCATCTCTTCTAGGGCAGATGTTTTCCCTGTGAAACCCTTGATGGAGGTTGGCTCTACCTGGACACATTCCTCACAGTCCCTGAGCACTAGCTGAGACTCCAGGAGTTTGGTGTAGCAGGCAGCTTGATTGCTGTACAATTTGGAATCCCTTGGGCTCCGTTTGATGGCTTCTGTATAATGCTTCACAGTCTGGGGATCCTCCCTTTCTGAAAACATTCATTGCCTTTGTTCTTCTCCTCTATAGGCCAGTCACCCTTGCTCCTTTCTCTGCTTGTTGGCATTTCTTTTTTTTTTTTTTTAATGTTTATTTATTTTTGAGGGAGAGAGAGAGAGAGTCTACGGAGCAAGAGGAGGGGCAGAGGAGAGGGAGCCTGGAACACAGGCTCCAGGCTCTGAGCTGTCAGCACAGAGCACAACACAGGGCTTGAACTCACAAACCGTGAGATCATGACCTGAGCCCAAGTCAGATGCTTAACTGACTGAGCCACCCCAGTACTCCTGCCTGTTGGCATTTCTTGAGCACATCTGGGGTTCAGTGCTCTGCCAAAGACTTGTTATAGAAATGGGTGGCATCCTTGTACTTTTCTTCTTTGAAGTAGGCGTTGCCAACTCGAGCATAAGCTTTGGCAATCTGTCGATATTCTTCTTGATTTTCTCACTCCACTTTGATGGCCTTCTCACAAAGCTCTAGGCATTTACTGTAGTTGCCCTTCTCGAAGTACACAGATGCTTGACTGGTCATGTAAGTCCTGTTGGTGGGGTCCAGGTCCCTGGCTCTGTCGTAGTGCTTCAAGGCTGTATCAAAGTCTTTCTTCTTGTAGGACTCATTCCCCAACTCCTTCTCTTTCAGTGCCTGCTTCTTATTCCCTGGAAGATCTTCTTCCATTGGCTCTGGCTTGGTATCCTTTTTGGGAGGAGGTAATGGTGGAGGTATTGCACCTTCCTCCTCCTCATCCATACTGTCCCGATCAACTCCCAGGAGGACACTGAGAGTCTTCATGACCTGGGGATCTTGCAGTTTCATGCCCAGGTCAGATGGCTTGTTTCACAGCTGCTCTATCATTTCCTGGTAGGTAGGATCAGTGAGCATTGTCTTTGTCCTGGGATCACTCTCCAACTTCTGATACAGATTGGATATGTTGAAAGGGTTCATGGAACCTCCTCTCTGCCACCTGGGCCTCCATATTCTGTAAGCCCTCTTTCAGCTGAGATTATTTGCTTCATGTTTTCAACCTTCTTTATAGGTTCACTTGGCTTCTTCAAATCGGTTTAAGAACTCAAGAGCTGCTGCTTTTCGTGAATAGCCCTTGCCTCCATCAGGCTTTAAGTCAATGGTTTTATAACCATCCTCATAAGCCTTCTGGCATAGGCCACTGAGCAATTGCTATAGAGCATGTGGTTCTGGGGATCTAACTTAATTGCTTTAGAGCAGCACTATAATGTATCATCAATATTGCCAGCTCTCAGGGCCTTATTGCCCTTCTCTTTTAGCTTATTTACCTGCTCCATAGCCTGGTCCAGAACCACATTGAATCGATTCTATCCACTTCACATTCCCAATTCTTAAGAACTATTTGCATTCAATACGTGGATAACTTTTTTAAAGGGAAGTTTTCCCAAAAATGGAGCTTAAAAGGGCCTAAGCTCCCCCCACCCCACCTCAGCCATCTCTTGGAGATGCCACTGTTGGTTTGATGAAGATTTTACTGTCTTGTCCTCCTAATCTGAGTCCAGTATGCCCTGTAGTCATCAATGATATGAGCCAGATGGTCATGTTTATAATATTTACACTGGTGTAGGGGCAAAGTGCAGACCACTTTTATATACACACATCTGCCAAAAGGTTCTTCCATGACAAAGAAGAAAGGTTACATGGTAGGTGGATCCTCCCAGAAGTACTGCATTAGTGTGCTAAGAAGGGCCAGAGGGGCCAGCCCAAGATTCTGAGGAGGTCTACAATATACTATAAAATCTGGCAGGTATACTGGTTCCTGGTAACCCAGCACATTAGGCTATCTAAACCCAGTCTCCTTTATCTCCAGGATGCCTGATTTCACCTCCATCAGCATCCTTCCAAATCTTCTCCCCTTTACTTTCAGTTTAAAAGGTCAACCTGATGCTGAGATTTGAGATTTCTGCAGTGCTCAGGTACTGCTTCAAGGATGCTATAGCAGATGAATCATAATAATAATAATTATTATTATGCTACAAAAAGTGGCTTTGTGTTTAGAGGCCCCCAAATAGAAACTATCATAATATGCAGGGACAAGTCAAGAGATATCACCGTTGATAACAAATTGAATGAGTCAGAGCATATTTGATGAGCTCAGACATTTCCTGCACATATTTCAGGGCCTTTCCCAGAAATAACCCATTATCCATTGTTATGGGTGCCAGAATCATTCACTCAGACATGTTAGATAAACTCTATGTGGAAGCTGCAACCTGGCCCCATGCCACCTTCCTTAATAATAAGACGGTTTGGTTCTTACTGTGAATTGTGGAGGAAGAAGAGTTGAAGGGTAAGAATTGCAGCCTCCTGGGGGAGAGGGACATGACCAATGGTTAACAAGCAGAACATGACCACTGTGGCCAGCAGAGGGCAGCAGAACCAGATTACTTGTGCAGGTGGCTCCAGTGACCCTGTGGCCACTACTGTGAACATCTGTGCTCCAGGAGACCAGGACGACACAGGGTAGTCCCTAGAAAAGGTACAGCTAAAGTGGGAAAGGAGGTTTGGGGAAAGAGATTTCCTTCCCATTGATGATATTCTTTCTCTGAAATCAATCCACTGGCCTGCCTCCTGGAAAATTAATCTTCCAAAGGCTGCTCATCCCAAGAGGAACAGTCAGAAAAGCAATTTAAATCACACAGAGCTAAAGACTAGAACATAAATGTCTAATGACTCAATCAAGATATAAACAATTCATTAAATTCAGCCTGAAACAGCTACCATCCTTCCCTATGCCCTAACAGATTTACCATTGCATTGCTTGTGCCACCAATGTCCACCACCTCCACAACAAAGACACATAATATAAACACTTTGCTCTCATCTTCCCAGTAGATCTCTTGCCCTCCGTTTTCTTCTCCAGAAGGTCAGTGTTCTTAATCAGAGGGTAGTGAGTATGGGCAATGGGAAATACACACAAAGAGAGGACCTGTTTCATCCTCCCTTTCTTCTTTCGTTAAGCCAGAGATGACTCAGTATAGTTGAATTTTACTGTTCTTGAACACAGCAAGACTCCTTAAACTTCACGAGTAGAGGAGGGTCAAGTAGGGCATACCACTAAGAATTATTGCTATTATGATGACTGTCCCAATGAGTGTGGGCATATGCTCAGATGCTTAAAGGAAATTACGGCTAACTTTGTTATCAAAAATGTAAGTCTAATCAGGTAAAAATCTTGATGTCAATGTATTTTCAGCCCTTCCCCTGGCCCTATGAGCTAAAGAAGGTTCTGCTTTTTTCTATTCTGTTTCTTCCTTTCCCACGCTCCTCCCAGCAGGGTCCTGTTTTGGGGACTCTCATGAAGCCGTATTGAAAAAATAACATAAAGAAACTCACAGGGCAGGCTGAAGGAGGATGTTCAAATCTGTGTTTTAGAAGAGAGAGGCCCAGAAGCAGCTGTGGAAGGGGAGTGGGTGGGTGAGGACATGGGGATTCTAAGTACTTCTGTGGGTTACAGCCTTTCATGACATTAAAAAACATGTTGTTGTACCATGTTCATTTGATGCAAGTCTTCTTTGAGAATGGACATTACGAATCATAGTTTCAATAGAATTATAGAAGACACTAACACAATTCTGCCTCTTCCTTGCAGTGATCATTTGCATAATTTGAGTAGGTTATCCTGTAGCTCATGAGGAGCATGGAAAATTACCTAACTCACAGAATCTCAGTGTACCAAAAACCGAGCAAATCAAAAGCCAGATACTTAACCAAAACTCTGCTGTTTCTCATCTCTGCTTCTGTGTTATTGTACCTAGGGCTTTTTAGAATCATCTTTGCTGCTTGAAAACTGTTGGAGACTTTTCCACTCCATCTCTCTTGGAAAGTTTCTTCTTCTGGGGACCTTTACTTTTACCATCTCATGACACAGTTCAAGGCTGTCCTGCAAAACCTCTCACTGGGACCTAGACTGACCAGGCTTATGCTTTATACACTGAGGCCTCCCCCACATGACAGAGCCAGTGTTCTTGGTTTGGTTCCTTTTTTCTGTCCTGAAGGGACACTTTTAACTTCCAGAATTGGAGGCACTTAAAGAAGAAAACAATTGCTGGGTGTTATTATAAGCCTCAAGGCCAAAAGGCACTTAATTAATTAAATGTTACATGTGGATTTAGGATGACAGCAGAGTAAGAGGCATGGGGACAAGAATGGCTTTTCCTCCCAAAAAAAGAAAACCAAATAAAGAGGTAACATTACCTGGAGAAAATCTCCTGGTTACAGATAGAATTTTGATATCTGAGCAGCTGGGATTTCCAATCTCTCTCTCTCCCTGATTTTTTTCTTCATTGGAGGAAGATGAGGGCAGAGATAATTGAGAGGAGCTGGAATTCACTGGGGAAATTACCTCAGAAGCAAGCTATGGAAGAGGGCACCACAGAAACAGGTCCCCATGTAACCATGGTGACAAGCAGAGGAAGGAAAGGGTGGGGAGAAAGGGAGCAAAGAACCAGTACAGATAGAGGGCAGGAGGGAATGCGGGGAGGGGAGGGGAGGGGCACCCAGGTCAATGAGTGAGTGGCAGGAACTTTTAAGCTAAATTCAGGTTTTTAAAGGAAGAAAGAATTAATTTGTAACTGCAATTAACTAGGAAGGCGGGATGTATGTTACACTATGGATTCTTTTTACATTTAGGAAGGGTTTTTAAACGTTTCTAGAGTTTAGCTACTTTAACAAAGCAAGATTAGGAGTGAACGGTAGAAAGTCAGGGCTGAGCTGGGGGTGAGGTGGGGAAGGATGGAATAGAAACGTAGGTACACTCCCAGAGACTGCAGTCATCCAGAGTCCACAAAGCACCCGGCTGCCTCCTGGTGGCAGCTGTCCTCCCAGAGATTCCCCTACTGAGGCTGAAGTGGAAAAACCAACGCCATAAGGACAGAATGCCCACATTTAACAAATACAAATACAGTTAATTTCCAATGTCAGATAAACAGCAAATAATATCTTAGTAGGTTTGTGTTCCATGGCAACCCTAATAAGGTGGTACCCACTAATTAAATATCATCTTGTTCTCTCATCCCCTATATATTTAAAAAAGAAAGGAGAGAGGGGTGCTTGGGTGGCTCAGTCCCACAAGCATCTATTTCAGCTCAGGTCATGATCTCAGGGTTCGTGAGTTCGAGCCCCACATCGGGCTCTGCGCGAACAGTGCAGAGCCTGCTTGGGATTCTCTCTCCCTCTCTCTTTGCCCCTCCCCCACATGTGTGCATAGGTGCGCATGCACTTTCTTTCTCTCTCTCAAAATAAATAAATAAAGAAACTTAAAAACAAAACAAAGAAAGGAGAGAGGCAAAGAAGGAGAAAAGGGAGGGAGGATCTAAACACTAAATGGTTACTTTCTCTGTAATTATCAACCCACACTCCATTCCTTCTTGCTTTCCTCTCTCCTCATCATCATAGAATATTCTCTATTCCCTATACAAAGCCTTCAAACAATCAAATCCGAACAAAGCCACACACAATCAAACCAGACCTCTCTGGTTCCTACAACCTCACACTGTCTTTTCCAGGGTGTTGGTCGTGTGTTATGGCGCCCCCTCCAGCCTCACCTGGGGCCTCCACCCTGACCTCACTAATCTTTCTTGCAGCTGCTGGTTGTTCCTGCCGATCTGCACCTGTACCAGTTGACCCCACCTCTGAGCTCCCTGCTGGCACTTTGTCAGTCCCTTGTCTACAATTAATGCACAACTCTTAAAGCCTCCACCAGTTAGGTGGCAGGTATCAATAAATCCTGTCACAGCAACATTTCAACAAAGTGTTTTACAAAAAATCAATGCCTATGGTTCAGCAACGGTAATGACTTTGTTTGATGGATGTTTCTCACTCATGCCACTCATGCCACCTCAGCTCCAGCCCTAACCAAACACCACTATGGAAAAGACCAAACAGAAGACAAGAAATTGGTTCACACATCACCTTAAAACTTCAATCAGATCATGTTATTTGATTTAAAACCCTCCACTGCTGTCTCATTACGTTGAGAATAAGACACAAAATGCTCACTATGGCCTGTAAGTTCTGCAGGATTTTCCTCTACCCACACATCTCACTCCATCTATGACTCACCCACTGTTATTCAGCCACGCGGAACCCTTTTCTGTTCCTGGAAAATGCCAGGCCTTTTCTTGCCTCCGGATCTTGCTCTTGCTTTCCCTTCTGCCTGGAACGTTTTCCTTGACCAGATCTTTGGTTGGACAAATCATTCTGATCCTTTGGAACTCAGTTCTGGGGTGCTAAGTACATTCTACATTATCTTGAAATTTGTGTGCTTTACTGTATGAATGTCACAACCCAGTGAAAGACAACATATTAAGTGGGACACCCTAGTAATTTATTATCACATCACCCTCTTTATTTCCTTCCTGATAATGATCACAATCTAATGGTGATGTTGATTTGTTGGCTGTCTGTCTTCCCCCAAATCAGGGTTGGCAAAATGATATCCCATTGTCCAAATCCAGCTACCATCTATTTTTGTAAATTAAGTTTTATTGGAACTCAGCCATGGCCATTCATTGACTATTGTCTGTGGTTCCTTTTTCATTGACTATTGTCTGTGGAAGAGCTGAGTAGTTCTGACACAGATTTTGTGGCTTCATGAACCTAAAATGTTTACTACCCAAACAAAATTTGACTGTCCATGCCCTCAGTTTCATGAGGGTAAAAACTGTGTCCATCTTAGTCATCTCTATTTTCAGTGTCCAAATAGTGCCTGGTCCAAACTTAGGAACCTTTCAATAAATGTTGGCTTCCCATTATGCCTCCTGCCAACTGGCTCCCACAGTAGTCATCTCCTGGTTGTTCTTTCCCCCATCAGAGCCTGGATCCTGACCAGTTGCCTGCAAACTGTAGGTTCTTGCCATCTGTCGTCCCCTCCTAGTCCTACCTCCTTGCTCTGTATCTCCAACTTGGGCTACTGAAAAGCAATCTGATCACAACCAATAATCCCATACCACAAAGCTTCCTCTGCTTTGTGGCCATCGGAACCATGTTTTATAATCAATTATTATATGGCAAATCCATTCTTTATAATCATGAAAGCATTCCTACTTAAAATTTCATTCTTCTATCATTCAGCTTCTTGACAACATATTTATTTAGGTCATTTTCTATTATAAAAATGATTTATACACATAACATGAAATTTTGGAAATATAGAAAATAAAATAAAAAGTCACCAAAAGATGATCACTTTTATCATTTTGGTGTAGTTTCTTTCCATTCTTCTTTCTATCTTTCTATGCTTTTTTTTTAAAGTACACCTGTATAAAACAACAAAAGATAGCTGAAAATAATTTCTTCTCTTGCATTATAAAAAAGATTTTTATATGCACATTCTTTGTAAATTAATATTTTTGGTATTGGCAAAATATTACATTGAGTGAATATATTTATGAAATATTTCCGAGTTCTTAAGAAATATTTATACTATATCCATATTTTAATAACCAAATGTCTTTGTGCAT